ATGTTGGCTCTAACTTTGGCAAAATGGTAATGTTTTTTGTTTGAGATGGGGTCATGCAACATGAGTAGAAACTATTATAGTGATTCAGTGATGATTGAATGAAGCAACATATGCGGTTAATAAGAATATAAGATACAAAGGTTTTAGAGAGTGGATTTCTACTTTTAATAGCAATTCTAGTTGAGCTGGTATAACTTTTCTCTTCTTTGCTTTTAGTTATATATATTCTACAGAAACTTCTCTTTTTGCAGTGTTATTGACTAATGAACAAGTTGACTTGCTCCTTTTGCCAGATAAGTTTCTTCCCTGATCAGTGGATGATGTATTGAATTTAAATCCACATTAATTTATGAAGGACTTGGATTTGATAAAGCTGGAAGGCGTTTAGGTCGGGGTAAGGGGTAAGTTTTAGATTGCTTGTCTGTGCATATATACTTTAGCACACAACATAGAGCTGCTAGACATCATCTATTTTAGTATCATAAACTTTTCTGTTAGTAATTTAGTATTCATGGGGCCCTTTGGGCGTCTGGGGATATGTTAAAAAGTATTTCACTTCTGATGAAATAAATAAAGAAATGTTGACTGAAATATACTTATAGAAATAGTTTAAAAATTTTAAGTATTTCAAGAAAAGTTGGTAAATAATCTCAAAAACTATCATTCTTCACTTCATTCTCTCACCCCCACAATCCAGTATTTTATTGAAAAAACCCAATTCTTTCTTGGAAAAGTTAAAGTATCTAAAAGACTAAAACAATACACACAAGTATGAATAGATACACTTATAGGCGGAAAGCAATTGTACCTCCTCGTAGATGGGAAAATGGGGCTTGAAACGGCCAATGATTGGGATGAGCTTGAATAATAGAAAATAAAACCAAATGGTCTACGTAGGAGTACAACTGTAACACCCTCAAATTTCCCGCCTAAAACATTGATATAATTGAAATAAAACTTTTATTTATTGATAATCAAATTTAAAGAGTACAACGGAAGTCTAAAATAGGGAAATGGGTGTTACCGCCACATCCGGTCATCTCTCAATCGGATGCACATGCAACTAAAACAAAACAATAAAAACTAATAAATAAATGTTTATTTCATGACTATATTTAACTAAGGCAACTTCTAATTCGCTCTCAGGCGCATGCATTCAGCAATCAACATAACCATCATCACCTGCACAAATAAAGTGCAGAAACAAAACAAAAGAAAGAAAACAAAAATTAGCTTTAGAGCTAAGTAAGTACTACCCAACTCCGTAAAATAATCAGGTTTGGCGAAAATAGTTTTTCATATAATACTATATAAAAATAACACACACAACCAAAATTCTTTTATCACTTCTTTACTAAAATCCTCAACTTCTCTTCGAAAATATTATAGTAACTCTTCTCTTTGAACTTCTCAAAAAAATCTCTTATTCACTAACTTCCTAGTAATTTAGAAGGGCGGTGCTCACCCTTTCGGCTGAGCCCGGTGGACCGTGGTTACGGACGGCCACCCCGAACAAGTGTCGGTACCATAACTGCTCTTGCGGAAATGAAACGACTACCTTAAGTGTGCACATCCTCTAAAAGGAATTCCAAGCTCTCCGAGTAGTAAGTCATCCCGAGTGGTCGGAACCCAACCACCCCACCTTTAAAAATTCTTGAATGATTAGGGACTACTACTATAACTCGCCTTCTTTAAAGGGATCATCGATCCAATTATCACTCAAAACTTATCCTCACCCTTAGCAGTAGCAACCCTTTTACGTCGGAACTACTACTACTACCACAACTCTCCTTCTTAAAAGGGATCATCGATCCGAAAGTTACTCAAAAATCTCTTCTTAGTAGTAGCCCTAACCATTCTCCACATTTATCCGGATGTGGAAAACCGATACCGCGGATTTCTCCTGCGGTGTTCACCTCTTATGAAATCTTTACTTTTATCTTGAATTAAGATATACTTCAAAAATATTCTTAAATTTCTCAAACTGCCTCAAAAATATTTAAATAAACTATTTAATACCCAAAAGCACTTAGTTTCACTTCTAAAATATCACATATCGAACAACCTCAAAATCACAATTTTAGCCATAGCAACTGATTTGATAATTTCACCAAAAATCACACGTTCATAAATTCCCAGAAAATCATACATCATCATATCTATACTCTAATAACCCAAATATCCATAAAATTTCAGAAACTCAAATCATAGCACGAACCCTAATTAATACATAATAGGGGCAAAATAGTAGTTTTGATTGCAATAGTCCTTACCTCGAGGCTAGCAACGAATCCTAAACGTCAAACCTAGCTTTATGGGTCACTCACACGTCCCTAGGAAGTGATAGGGTCGAATGATCTCAATTTAGGAGAAAGAAATTTAGAAAACGGATGAATGACGCGAATTAGGCAACAAACACACTTACCGGAAGATTGGATTGTTTGATCTCATCCTTGGCATAAAAATTCGTGCTGGCTATATTAGTATTGAAGAGATGGAAGAGATAGAGTTTGAAGAGGCGGTTCTAGGGTTTTTGGAATGAGGAAAATCGGATTAGGGATGTATTCATAGTGAATTTCCGAAGATTGAGTCGCATTAGGATAAAACAAGGACGCACGTGTGCGTACCTTCCACGCACGTCGTGCGTGGCTGGCAGTAGCTATTCCGCTTGATTTTCTTGCCACGCACGCCGTGCGTAATTTGACACCGCCCCCAAGTATTTGTACTTTATTAAATTATGTATTGAACCTTGAGAAATGAGTAAACACATTTTTACGTGATTGTAAATTTTTATCATTTCTCTTACGTGAATAGTAAAATTCACGTGGGGCCCACACCGGAAGTGGGGGCCGCCCGATATTATCGGGACCACATATTATATTCATCTTATCCTAGATAATATGTATATGGTGGTGGATATCGAAATTGGGCCGTGGCAAAGGCATAGGGTTGACCGGTTAGTCAAACGAGGCCCGATTATCAGTATCGGCAATTTATCAGATAACAACCCAAAAAGGAATTTCGGAGACTTCTAAATTAAAGTTGAGGCATGTATATTCATTATAATGTCCAATAATGATGGAGAACATGTGTCATATTTTATTTGACCCGATAAAATAAAGTATAATTAAAACAGTCCGGGAAATATTACTTTCGTGGCCAATTGTACACACCAGGACATAAAGGGATGACCTCCCACATGAGTGGGGGCCACCCCACGAAATTATTTGAGACAGGGAATGGGCTTGGGCGGCCAAATGGTAGGGGTGATGAAGGGGAGGTGTTTGACTTGAGGTAAATGGCATCAAAAAGGACAAAAGGGGAGCCGTGTCCTTACCATCATTAACGAAATGAGCGAAAATGACATTCCCATCACTCCTAACCCCTATCATTAGAACCAAGCCTCATCTAGGTGGAGATAAGGTCTGCAAAACCACCATTTTCATCTTTCATTTACGCACCAAGAGCAAGGGAGGAAGGAGGAAGGAAAAAGAGAAGAAAAAGGGGTGATTGAGAAGGAAAAGTCTAGGATAACAAGGTAATGACTCCATTAATCCCATTTCTTTTCCTTAATCTTCCCTTATGATTATATAATCACATGTTATACACCCCTGGACTTGTTCTACACATTCAAACGTGTAGAATGAGGGATTGGAAGGTAGTTCTAAGTCCAAGAACGGACTTAGAAGCCAAAGTGACCGGTTCGCACGAAAATAACCTTTTAGAGGTTACTTGGATTAATATGGGTTTTATGATGATGAAACCTCATTAGGAACTTTCCTAAGGTATTCCTAGAGCTTTCACGGAGTTGAAAGAGTCTTCGGAATAATCGTCGGAGCTAGACAAAGTTCACCGGAGTTTCGCCGGAGTTCAACCGGGAGGGTGTAACTTCTTAAAGGCTTCACTAAGGTGAGAAGACGGCTTTATGCTTTATAACTTTTGCGTGAGGCATAAGATTACCTAAAGTAATCAAGGATATGTTTTATGGAATGATTAAAGATAATCAAGTATTTGCATATGCCATGATTATACATAAAACATAGTTGAAAAGCATGTTACATATGTTTGATGATTAAAAAGGTGATAAATTATCATGTATGATGTTCCAGGGATCCAAAATGGTATTTTTAGATTAAGGACGTCAAGAAGTACATGTGTATGAAATTTCACGTTGATCGAACTTCGTTTGGGCGGTCAAATGGGTGTTGACCGCTAAGATAAAGGTAATACCCGATCGGGTATGGGTAAATACCCGACCAGGTATTGATTAAAAATGGATCCAGAAGCCACTGCCACACTAGACCCGACCGGGTATGGGTATATACCCGACCGGATCTCAAGTAAATTCGGCTCTAGAGGCTACTGCCTCACCATACCCAAACCGGGTAAGGTTGGATACCCGACCGGGTATTGGGTTATGCTCAAAACGGGCAGTTTTGAGTAGGTTAACGTGGACCGTTCAGGTGGAAACTGTCCACGTTGGTTATTAAGGATGTTTATATGACTATAGGGCTAGGTATTGTCCATAGTTAAGGGATGAAAGGCTAGCCATATCCAAGTTAGGGTTTGGTAAGCATAAGGTTGGGGTTGAACATCCCTGGAATGGTAAATGATCCTGAAACTCGGTTGCGGTTGAGCATCCCTGGGACGGCAAATGATCATGAAACTCGGTTGGGGTTGAGCATCCCCGGGACGGTAAATGATCCTGAAACTCGGTTGGGGTTGAGTATCCCCGGGACGGTAAATGATCCTGAAACTCGGTTGGGGTTGAGTATCCCCGGGACGGTAAATGATCCTGAAACTCGGTTGGGGTTGAATATCCTCGGGACGGTAAACACTACTACAGGAATGACATACTACGTCGCCTCTTTAACGTCAGTTTTTGAAAAACCGTCGTAATAGGCAATGAATTTGAATTTTCAGTACGGTTTTATTTAAACCCGACGTGGTACCGTTTCAGTTTTTTCGTTTAGGGGTAGTAGTAAGCACGTGGGTGACTATAATTAAACCCTCCATCCTCTTGTGGCACGAAACCCTCTCCCAGCCGCATCGTCTTCTTCAATGGGAGATCGAACATAATCCTCGCATCATCTTCTTCAACGCACAGAACCCTCGCATCGTCTTCTTCTACGCACAAAACCCTCGCATCATCTTCTTCTATGCACAAAACCCTCGCATCATCTTCTTCTACGCACGAAACCGGAAAATCGACCTAGGGATCGGATATAGGTCGGCGAAAATCTCCTCACCCGATTGTGAATCGGGTCAATCCCTGCCCTTCGATCTGCTCCAGGTCCTCGTTTTCTTCAACTACTTCGGAGAAACTGTGCTTTCTGTGAGCGAGATACCGAGGGGAGTGGTAGAAAATCAAGGGGACGGCGAAGTAATCCGATCCAATAGATGGTATTCAGTTGAGGGTAGCTTCCGGATTGATTCTGACTACCTAAGCTAGTGCTGGTAAGTTCTCCATCTTTTCTACTAGTCACTACTTTGAATACACCTTCTTCTGGTATTTCGACCCTCCTCTTCATACACCATGTTTATTCAGTTTGTTGTTGCATGATTTCTATGCCCTTTCGACTCTCAATAATCAATTTTTTGGTTGGATGTTCGTGTTTATGCGGCTAAATTGTGATTTTTCAATTGTTTGTCACAAGGGGATTCTGTAATGTCTTTTTTATTTTGATTCTTTTCCGATTTTCATTTGTGCTATTTGAGAATTTTAGTATTTTGGATTTTTCCTCTTTTAAGAAAGGGGAGAATTTCTTTATTCTCAGAGCCAATATCTATGTTAGTAATAATACATATTCCGTAAATTTTAACAAGAAATTTTTACTGCTTTAGTGTTGACATTTGGCTAGCATCTCAATCCCAAGCTGTACTTGCTATATGTTGCGATAGTATATGGTTTAACATGTGAAATGAAGGTACGCTCAATATGTCAGTCATTACTTAGTGCTTGAGATGCTAATATTTAGTCATGAAACTGATTGAACTAAAAAGAAATTCTTTTATGATTGGTCGTCTTGTTCTTATATTGCAGGGAGTTTCAATGAAGTCACAACCATCTAAGGCTGCTTGGAGTAAAAGCTTTGCAAATAGATACTTTGATTATGATAAACTAGATGAGGTACTTGTTTGATAACTTTTGATAACTGAACCATTCATATCTTTCTCATGACAGTAGTATGGGTTTTGGTTGTAACTTGATTGACTTATCTAATAGAGGTTACTATATTTGATACTTCATACCTGGGAAAAAACATTGATGTCAACTTAGCCCATTAAAATTGGGGTCTAAGGTCTTACTGTTCATTGAATATTTCTTTTGATTCGTTGGACGTACAACTACTATCTTTAGAGATTCATTTATTTCTCTTGATGCATTATTTACTTATCTCAAGTATTGTCTTATGTTCAGGCTCAGGAGCTAAACAAAGAGATACTCGTATTTGAAAGAATGAATATCATGGAAATTCATGATCATTATGATTAGTTTTGCAGTTCTAATATTATATTCACTTGTATATTTATTTTCCATGTTTCAAATAACTGGCTTCATCTTACATATGTCATACAGATCAAAGACACAACATTATATTTATATATATTCTCTTTTGCATGGTATTATTAGGCAATATATTCAGAGATTTCAGCTTCTTTCTCTTTTTATTCACTATCTCTAACAGCCTCTTCAGCCACATCCAGGTGCCTTGATGACACCCCATGGATATGGTTCGTATCCTATGCAAGTAGGTTACCTGACTTATTATCAAGTTTTCCATGTACACTGCTTTGTTTGATGTGTAAAAGTACCATTTCATTTTTTTGGCTTCTTTGCGGTGATTAACACTTTATTTCCCTCCTTCATATAATCTCTAATCTAACTAAATTTCTGACCTTTTATTTTTGTACAGTTGCAGTTTTCACCATCTCCTTTTGGCCACCCAAACAGCTGGATGAATATGTCATACCAAATGAACACACCTCTCTTTGCTGCAGGAGGACAACACTGGCTGCCACCAGGAAATTATTGCCATTATTTGTACATCTTATTATCTGATTCCGAAGTAATTTTTGATTTCCAATAAATAATGCTCTTGCTAATGCCCTTTTCAACTTTTAACCACTCTAGGACTCAATTAGGAAAAAGGTTAGTAATTCATTATGGTGAAGTCCTTAAGATATGTTTAACCTAGTTTAGTTCTTTTTTACACATACATACATTCATTTTAGTTTTAATTCTTATTAAGAGCATGGGTGAAAACTGGTAGTATATTCTAGTCTTCAGAACCCATATGTCACTGCAAAATCAAACATTAGCAATAAAATTCTGAATAGGGGAAATAACCTATTAAAACCTGCCGTATAAGTGGAAGTCTTTCACAGCTTCTTCAAACTGTCCTCCTCGTTGATAACCTTCATATCTTGCTCATCTCATTTTCCTCTTTTTCTATGACTTCATATCTTGCTCTCAAAAGGGAAACGTTTGGATCTATCTATGTGTTGTTTCATGGAAGCAATTGAGATGGATAATGAAGAGGATCTATAATATTATTAATTGTAAAGTATTGAATCATTTCCAGATTTGTTTTTCATTTAATTGAATTAGTCTAGCTTCTTTAATCGATGAATGTTGTACTCCATTTGGTAATTCCTTTGATTCTATGGTTGTTCAACTAATAGCTGGTGTGACCTTACGTTATTAACAGTGATTTAATTAATTTGAATGGAAATGTTTTAAGAATTTTATTTCAGCCTTCACTGTTTTTTCTCTAAAACTTGCATATGTTTTATCTTTTTTGCAGGTCTTTAATAAAGAGTATATGTTTGCAAAGATATAAGAGCCACTTTCAGGCTTCGGCAGGACTTTAAGAACCATTCAACTGAATTTAGTCTTAAGGTGTCCTTTTCGTAGGCATATTGATGAGTTTTTTTGCTAGTCTTTACTTTCTCTGTAAATGTTTATTGTTTTTAGTTTCTTAACATGTATTTTGATTTTCTATGTATACCTTTTTAGGAAAACGAAGTAATAAAACATTTGTGGTTATTTGAATAACCAACCCAAATTGTGTTTAAGAACCCATTCAATTGTGTTTAGTCTTGAATGTCGTTTTTGTAGGCATATTGATTCGATTAGATTTTTTTGCAAGTCTTTACTTTATCTGTAAATGTTTTTGTATTTAGTTTCGTAGAATGTATTTTAATATTCTGAATGTATACCTTTTTGGAAACAAAGTATAATACACTGCTGGTTAATTGAATTAACCAACCCAGTGCGTCTGTATATTTTTTTTTATAAAAAAAGCTACTTACAACGTCGGTTTTAATTGAAAACTGACGTAATATGTATTTTTTTTATCTTTTGTGCCCATACGTTTAACGTCGGTTCCGGAAGACGACCGACGTAATAAGTATTTTTTTTTTTTTTTAAGTTGTATTCGACATCGGTTTTTCTAGAGTAACCGACGTGGTAGGTTATATTCATTTTTTTAAGTACACTTTTTACGTCGGTTTTATAACCGACGTTATAGGGTCTAACCTATAACGTCTCTCACTTACACGTCGGTTCCAAAACCGACGTTAAAAGTATAAAATAACCGACGTTATATGTTCCTTCTCTAGTAGTGAAATGATCCTGAAACTCGGTAGGATATTATGAATGTAGAACGTAACTTGTGAGCTAGGTATCTGGGAAAGGAGTGATATAAGTCAGGTAAGAACTTTATCTCTAAAAGACTCTTTAAGGTAAATGACCTACGAGTTAAGTATTTTACGAGTATATATACAGTATGTATCATCGGGTGGATGAGAGACATCTATATATATGTATCACCCTATTTTTGGGTCTCGTGTCTGAAAGATTAGTTATTCTTCATATAGCCTGCTTGTCACTAATACTTCTATGGAGTACTGACCCCTCCGGGGGGCCTCACATTTTTAGGTTAAGGCTAGAGTCCTACTACCTGCACCTTTGCCTAGGGTGATTGATCCAAGGAGGAAGACGTGGTTCGTGCTTCCATTCTTATTTGGAAATTTATAAACTGCTCATGGATATTTGAACAATGTTTTCCTTTAAAACAATTGGGGGCCTGCATGCTCATGTTTGCCACGTTTGGCTAAATATCAAACATATTATTTCCGCATTTGTTTGATTACGATATTGATGTTGATTGTATGTGTTTATTAATCGGTTTGGCAATAGAATCTATCGGGCGCCTTGCACGATTCAATAAGGATGAACTAATGTCGTTCTTATCGGGTTGTACGACGGTTGTCTACGTGGCTCGGATGCGGTCCGGGGCGTGACACATGATCCCACGCACGCCGTGCGTGACCCCCAGACGCCCCAAACCTTAGTTTTTGCCCCGTTTCTTCCCCGTTTGGACCTCCCCTTGATCCCAAACACTAAACCAAACATAATAAACTACCTAAAGATCGTCTAAAAGATACAAAACACAATTTTAATTATTTCCTAAATTTTCTCAAATTTTCAGGGTATTACAACAACCTAGACAAAAGTTTTATATAAAATAAGAGTAACTATGTTTTATTCCCAAAATAGAAGTTATTAGATTTCATTAATAAAAAAATCAAAATTTCTTCAATAAGAAGTGAGTGAGTCATATGAAGAAAGCAATGACATTCTTAATGTTTGTGTTTGCTAAAGAGGGTGCTAATGATATCTAAAGAAGTGGTTAGAAAGTGTTTTCTCTAAAGTAGAAGGACTTATATCATGATTTGGGAGAAGGGCATTTGAGAGTAAAATATTGATTGCTGAAAGTGGATAATTGCATCCGTTTATATAACATGTGTTGTTGAGAATACATCCCACCAAACATAAACTTCAAGGGAGTTTCACTCATTACTCTCAGTGGAATCAAACAATATAAAAAAGAAATAAGTTGTAGTTCTCTAAATGGATTGTACCTAATCATACTTAATTCTTAGCTGCACTTTCCAAAAGACTCCCCAAATTAGGTGCACATTTGTTATAAGGAGTATATATTAGAACTGCATTGGATTTTTTAGGTAAATTCAAACATCACAAATTAACACTACTAAGAATGTTTTTTCCTTTCCTTAGAATTATCCATGATCCATCCCATAAAGAAAAGAATGGTTTTGAGCATTTCCCTTGCATTATTTATGGACTTTATATATCTTTTACTCTTATTTAAACAAAGTTCTCACAAATTCACAATCAAAGGGATCTGCCTATAATGAATTCACAACATATAGGAGATATTTTCATTTGTAAGCTTGCAAATGTAGTCAGAAGTCACAGAACTAAGGAAGGACTATGTAAATATAAGCAACAATGAAAGAAAAATCCAGATATAGACTTCATGCTGCAGATGTTCTTGTTTCAAGTCTAATAGGTCAACTACTAATGTATGTGTATTATAACATGACAAGTTAAAATTGTGTATTATGTTGGTGCAATAATGTTTGAATAAAATTGTGTTAAAACTTGTCATGGTAGTTATGCGAAGGCAGTCTGATATTTTAATGGTAAAGAACATCCGTTTAATAGTAAACGAATTAACTTTGTCATGAACTTTCAAATAAATGTCTTTGATTAGCTAAGCATGATTTTGGCAATTGATTTATCACATTAGTCAGCAACTTTGAAAGCCAAGGAATACAACGAACAACTATGAGCAAAGCATTCTAAGCTACAAACAACATGAGATGGATACGTACCCTGATAAACACACGGCTAACAAGAGAATAAGCGGGACAAGGGATGGTGGAGTGAAAACCCATGTGATATACGAACCTAATATCAGGTCAAATAGAAGATTATATTAAATATACAAATTACAACATAATAACAAAGGAAATTTCAGTGAAGCAATTCATCGAGCATGTGGAATGCGAAGTTTGCAAACTATGGACTCGCTTATTTACAGTGTAAATTGATGAAAAACTTACAAGAGTAGAACATGCAAGAATTGGAAAATCTGTTGAACAACTGAGCCAGATTACTTATAATAGACAACCTGACCTTTGAGTAAGTAAACAGATGTTCAGAAGCCATTACTAAGGAGGGTAGAATGCGGAGTGGCGGGAGAGGAGCTGAGGGGTTTCATCATGCAGGAAATAAAAGAAAATAGATCGAGGCAATGAAGTCATAGAATGCGGAGTAAGTTATTTCCTCCGTATGTATACAAGACGTTGAGCCCTTCCGTTAGTAATGAAAGGTGCGATAGGTGGTGAACAAAGTACAACAAAATAAAAATAAAGTATAATCAGATTATACATGAAGAGACATCAATATTTTGTTTATGATCGTTAAACCCCTAACATGTATATTTATACAAAATATATATTGCCTCGATCTATTTATGGTAGAGATTAGTAATCCAATTAAGTGTATATTTATTTCGTATAAATTAACATGTATTCTTTAATTTTATTTATTGCCATACTATTACGTTATTTTTGTGTATTCTAATTCTGTAATGTACTCTTTTGTTTTGTACATGCATTTATTATGATCACTTCTAAATATATTGAGTGCTCTTAAAATAAATGTCTTACATTAATATTTAATTATTTAAAAAATAAAATATTTTTTAATCCCGTGCATCGCACGGGTACGATACTAGTTTGATTTTAAAAAGTGATAAGGGAAATGTTCTCAAATAGAACCAAACAGGACAAAAATACCGTTATAGGGTTGTAGTAGTGATGTCACCTGATGATCGCTGGTTGCCTAAATTTTTTTACCGATCACCACCACAGATCTGCTGCCATAATGATTGTTGGTGATTTTAGTGTCACCGGCCATTTTGTGTAATTGGAAATGACATGGATACCAACAGGGATTAGAACCATGTTCTAATACAAGCTAGGAGGTGTGGAGTGCACACTTGTATATAAGAACGAGTTGTATTCCAAAGTGTCTACGATAATGGAACTCGAGGTAGAACACTCAGTAGACCAACTCTGGTTCTAGACCGAGGTCTAGAGCGGTTGGGCAATTTCGTGCAATTTTCCAAAAACTGTCATAGTTATTCCAAAACGTGTTGCAACTGCCTGGGACATGTAATATGGATATATATCACCATATTTCGTACAGAGAAGCTAGAGTAGATATATACAACATATCTTGATCACTTTTGGCATTCAACTTAAGATAGGAATCCATATACTCACTAGTTTGGCTCTAGTTCTTGTGCCTAAGTTCTAGAATGTTCTTAAGGATTATCCTAGATTGATTTTTTTGTAACCCAGGCATAGGGGAGAAATATCAATTCGGAAAGTGAACTTACATGATCTTTAAGCAATCCAAGTACTCGATTATCACCCCTTACGTGATATACCCCAACAATCGAATTGATACTTCTTTTGTGATAATCATGAGTACCGTGGAAGAGATGACATCCAAGTTCAACAAATTGGACAAGTTTCAAAGGAACGATTTCCGTAGATGGCAAAAGAAGATGCACTTCCTCGTCACCACTTTGAAGGTTGTGTACGTGTTGAGCACTCCGATGCCGGAAGTGATGGAGGACGAAACCTCTGAACAAACTAGGAGGCGTAACAAGTGGGAGAACGATGACTACATATGTAGAGTCCACATTCTTAACGGTATGTCCGATGCGTTATTTGATATTTACCAAAACATTGAGAGTGCGAAGGAATTGTGGAATTCTCTTGAGTCAAAATACATCACCGAGGATGCTTCTAATAAGAAGTTCTTGGTGAGTGATTTTAATAATTATAAAATGGTTGACTCAAGGCCGGTTATGGAACAATACAATGAACTCCTTCGTGTTCTTGGTCAATTTAAACTCCACAAGATAGGTGTTGATGAGTCCTATGCCGTGTCGAGTATAATTGACAAACTTCCATCCCCTTGGAAGGATTTTAAACGTTCTTTAAAACATCAAGATGGGGAACTGTCATTGGTTCAACTTGGGAGTCACTTGCGCATTGAGGAGAATCTTCGTGTGCAAGAGAATGACCAAATTATGGGTGAAGTTGAATCTAGACTGGCACATGTTCACTTGGTTGAGGATAATAAATCTAACCCGAAAGATAAGGGGAAAGGCAAAAAGCGCAAGTTTGAAGACCATGACAAACCCAACAAGAAACCGAAAGG